GTTATCAACTACTTTTGCAAAGTCATTTAAATCAATAAACAGATATACATGTGTATGTAGTTGTTCGTTGAAAGGGCATCACTTTCCTTCTTTTTTCTACCCCAACTGAAAGATTTGTGTCAAATGGACAAAGCAACCAAAAAGCAAAAATTTGCACTCTCAAAATGGATGCGGCACAGCTGCGGGCTTTAGGGCAAACTAAGGGAAACAGCGGACGAGCAGCGACAAAAAATGATGTTATGAAAAACGACCTGTACAAAAGTCAGACGCAATTTTCTGCTGACCACGTTCTCGTTGACAGCGAAGCTTGTAATTATGTCATTACAATTTAAACAGCACAATCAAATTAGACGCCATCACACAACGCTGAAGAACGATTTAATTAATTAAAACCGCATGAAGAGTGAAGGTCTGGGCAACCTAGTAACAGGGAGGGGCGCGTAAGAGAGAGAGAGAGAGAGAGAACGAGGAGTGAGGGATCGAAAGCGACAACCAAAACGCAATGAGTGAGAGATCACTTCCAAAACGAAGCACTGACATGTCAAAAACCCATCTCTTGTTGCTTTTTCCACTGTGCTTCACATTGTCTCTGCGTATTTATATTGACACACGAAATTAAAAATATGAATACAAAATGAAATGTTCAGCTCGTCTCAATCACAAAAGACAAATGAGGCACACGTTTGTGATGCTTTTGTTGCTGTTGCTGCAGCTGCTGTTGTGTTGAGTTGCGTGTTTGTTTGACGCTGCAATTTCAGCTTTTAATTTTTTTTTGTAATTTTTCCTATTTTTTCTTTCCCAGAACAACGTCATACACACAATACGTATATACTGCTATGCAGCAATGCAGCATCCTACCTGGAGCATACATACACATTTTTTTTTCCTCTACTGTTCACTTTGTTTGATTACTATTTGAAAGTGTGCAGCGCTAACGAGTTGAACATTGTAGAACAAAGGCGAAAACAATAGTCAAACTGGAAAAGAGAGGAGCACAGAAAAAAGAAAAAGATGTTGTTTTGTTTTGTTGCCAACTTTTCAAAACATCACTCAGACCCGAGCGAGCGAGCGAACGAGAGCGAGCAAAACACAATACATTTGGAATGCAGCAAAGTTGTCGTTCTAGAACGTTGATTTACCCAATATATATCTCTATACTATTTTATTTTTGTCACAACGACGGCACATCACGTAGATTTCAGCTCACTCTAGCCATATCTCTGTGTCGTTCGTTCCCTTGGTGGTGGTGTCAGTGACTTAGTCAGTCAGTCAGTTTGCCAGTGCAAATGCGAATATGAGTTTGTGCTGTGCGAAATATATTTTAATTATAATAATTATAGCAATTTTTTCGCCATTTTTCTCTGGTTTTTGTTGTTGGTTTGATGGAAATGTTTTGCTCGTGCCATAACAATTTTTTTCTCGCTCTCTCTCCCTGCCTCTCTCTCTCTCTCTCTCTCTCTCTCTCTCTCGCTGCAGTCATGTGATAATTAATATTGTCACTTTACCCTTAATAAATAACTTGATGCAATGTTCACCATTCGAGGCATATTATCGTGAAAATCGTTGCGTTGAAAATTGGCATCGTAAATCCGAAGTAAGCAAAGGAAAATATATTACCGGGGTAGAACTGAGCTTAGTTGGCGTTATAAATAGGTAATTTATGGATTAAATTACCATCAAGATGCGCATACTGTGTATATATACTGTGGAGCACACGTATGCCGGTATAATTTTCAGTGTTCGAAAAATTTTCTTCGTCTCTATTCACATTTCGCTAGACCAAACACATTGTTTCATTTCCGTTTTTCAGATTTTAACGACTTGAAAGCGACGGGCAAACCTTTGCACTGCTCATCCGTAACCAGATCAGAAATTCATTTCAAAAGAAGCTTTTCTAATGGAAAAATTACCATTTTGCACTCTTTTTTTTCTCTTGTCGTTGCTCTCTTTTCTCGCATTGTTCTAGCCCAACGGATGACCTTTTTTCCATTCTCTCTGTCGATCTCTGCATCGCTAAGAATGGATGCGGAGAGAGGCAAAGAGAGAGGAAGGTGTGAGAAAGTGAAATGCCTGACCAATTACATTAAAATATTGATGAAATATGTGAGTAAGGCAAAGCTTCGATGTGAGCGAAAAGCGTTTACAATGTGCGCATAATGTTTACAAAATTCGTTCGGTTGAACGTTCGAAACGTCGTCCATCTGATGGATTCCATCCAAATGCAAACTTAATATAACGATATTGTTCGGGATAACAAGTCATGATATTCACATATACAAGTTTTATTTAGCAATTACAATGTTTCATCATCATTACATGTTTCATTAGGTTTCAATGGCCATATGCTTAATGCAATTCATGCTGACGTAATTTGTTGTTATTGAATTTGGAATGCATAGATATATTTGGTTCGCCATTAGAAGAAGTCGAATCGTCAATCACAATCCATGTTTGTGCACATCCACTCGTTTCATCTCTCTTTTCGCGCGACAGTTTCAACGTCTATTTTCGCCTGTTCATTTCGCGCCACGCCGCGCCGCGCCACATATACGCTCGCCGAGTGTATTCAACGAAGAATGCTCGCGCTTTTGTTCGCGCGTTTTGTATCCTTATATTCACATTAGAGCGCATCACAATCATGATTAAATGTGATTTATCACGATTATAGCACCTTAATGAATTTTTATGCTTTGCAATATGTACGAATGAATACACATGAAATGGTTCGTTGAGCTGAAAAACAAATCTCATTTGGCACTTGTATTGCCATTTTATTTTTCGATGCTCTTCAATTCATATACAGTCTCGTTCGTATAACAAAAAGTATGTGCTGATAAGTGGTGCAGACAATAAAAGCAGCGAATAGAAAAGAACAACAACAACGGCCACAGAAAAAATATTTAATACTGATTAAGCATGGAAACAATGTCATGGAAACAACAAAGCACATTATTTTCTACTGGGATGAAATAGAACAAATGATGGGCTTCCTTTTTGCTTGCGCGCGCTTCGCCAATTGGTCTTCTTTGCCCGTTGCCTGTTCTGTGGCGTTTTGGTTTCGGATGTTGTTGAATGTGGCCCATTGCTCGCCAAAATATTATTATTCACTGCATGTTTTTTTGGTACTTTCGAGTCGACACACATAAAAATTACAACATACACGTAGCATGAACCACCATATACGCACCGTGCTGTGCCATCGCCACTACCGCCATCACCACCATTGCCCTATACCCAAAATGTATCCAAACCATTTTCAACGGTCTATTTCGAATATGTTTTGCAAATGATAATAGCCATTTCGGTGGGTGGGTGGTTGGTTTGTATTTGTATAGACGAACGTTTTACACAAATTGCTGTTGAATCTCATGATTTGTGCTAATGATCTGCGAAAACTTTGCAAATACACATGATATTTTATTCAGTCCATTCAAATTCAAACAAACCAGCCAAACATTCGAATCCATTTTGATTTGAATAATCGGCCAAAATTGTGTGTGTATGGTCCTTGTGTGTTGTTGATTTTCTGAATATATTCAATAATGCTGATGTTGTGCGTGCGTGATTGTGCCTATGTATGTGGTAATGATGGTGTGGGCTAACAATACTTCGTTGGGCGCACTTATGTGTGCATTGTGTCCATAGGATTTTTGTTGCTAGAAGAAAGCAAATTCTTCAAATGCTAAGAGTGAATGGATAGAGCAATGGTGATAGTGGTGGTGACTTAGGCCTCTTGAAAATTCAATGCAGACAATGAGACATTTTATTGTGTGTATCACTTGAGAAACGACTCCATCATTATCATACGGGGAGGACGATGAATTGTTATAACATATACAATACCAAATCCGTCGCTTCAAAATAGTACCGAAGAAAAGAAGCTTGTGAGGAAATTAGTGATTTGGTTACAAGAAATTCAGATTTCTCTGTATCGTGCCCAGCACACACATGTGTCGTTTGTGTGTATGGGCCTAAATACAACATCTTCAACCGATTCCGATCTGAAATTCGTGTTGTTGAATTTCATAACAAAGTTTTGTCTGTTCCGAGACGCACTTTCCAAAACCTAATTATGTATCAGATACTTTGCCATCCATAATAATTACGACAGAACAGTGACAGAAAAGCGCACATATACTTGATGACCTGTTTGAAGGAGGCAGTTTTTTTTCACATTCGGTTTTGCTTCTCGTCATCATCTTCACATCGTTGTCGTCGCTCTTGTTTGCATTGTATATTCGATACAGCATGACGACAGATCGTTTGGGGCCAGCCATTTGACGATGAAACACAACAACACATTGGTGTGACGATGATTGAGTTCGAACACACAGAAAATTGATTTAAATAACGTATGAATTAGCTATTCGATGTTTGCTTAGCCTAAGCTGACGATTTTCGTGCTATCGCATGCACACAAGTGCCTGTACGCATTTTTCTGTTGTGTTGATTTTTATTTTTCGTTCATTCGCTACGCCTTATTCCGCCTCAAAAGCGTCTATCTTCCCTGATGTGCATGTTGACGGTTCCTACATTTGCCACTTTGGTATTTTCCCCGCATCGTATATGTGTCAGAAACGCTTTAGGCATCCAGTTTATTCGTTCGCACTCAACATTGCTCACATGTGAATATTTATTCAAATTACGTTTTGAGCATTAAATATTCACACTTGAAATTAGCTCGAATATCTAAATTCAAATTTGAATTATATGTATGCCAAATATTATGCGTTGAAACGTACTACATCGTTGCACAGCCGCCCGAACATGTCGAACATTGGCAAAACAATGGTTTAATCGATTTTTAAATCCTTTGACACACACAACCAACCGTTCTCTCCCACGCATATCATCCCCGCATAACCCATCGATACATTTATACAACAGCTATATAGTACAGTTAAATCTACATAGGCAGAAAAACCAGAATTTTGCATTCAACACATATAATAAATAAACAGGAAAAAGTAGGAAAAAAGGTTTACAGAAAAAAGACTCACCATTATTCAGGCCCGGTAATCCGATAACTAGCAAAATAAATATCCTATAGGGGTTAATTGATGAGCATTTTCCAGTGGTTATTGATAGTTTCGCTCTGTTTCGATCGGATTCATCGTCAAAGTGTTGCTGCTTTGATGATCCACTGCTCCTATCTGGTTGCATAGCTCGTTTGTTTGTCTTTGAAAAACATAAATGACTACTGCTGCGACACGTTGATGACGACATCTTTGCAGAGTTTCGTTTTTTTTTCTTGTCTTTTTTTTTTCTTTTTGAACTTTTTCTCACTTTCGTTTAACAGTTATCTGTCTCTCACTTCTCACACGTTTCAGTTTAATGTGCTACAATCTTACAATTAGGCCATAGACAAAGTCAAAGATCAAAATAATTGGATGATTTTCTCGTGTGCTGGCACAAGGCTTTTTCCACTAACATTCACACTTACAACAGTCTATGTGTGTAATAGGTATAATGCTATTCGTTTTAGCTATTTGTCCTTCTATCCATTCACACAATTCGTAGTAAGATTGAGAGAGTGAGAGGCAACGAAGAGTGCTGGCAATTCTGTATTGTGTACACACACTTCAAACAATTTTAATGAGATCGACTGTTCATGCCGCATTCGCAAGGAATGTCGATTATGTGCTCAAAAGGCCAAAAATCACGTTCAACTCACTTCAATACTGCACCATACTCGTCTCTTGGTTTTTGAATATTTGACGCTTTTAGCTTTCTCGTGCTCTCTTGCTCTTGTTCCGTTATTATTTTCTCTTTTTGAAAACCCACATGCATATACAATAGTATTGTGAATTGTGTATTGTGTATTATCACAATTATGATGCTCTAAAGTTGGCTCTCAAACCAGAGCTCTAGATGCTTGTTCGCCACACAAACAATAACAACAAAAAGCAAATTCAAGTGGATGAAATGAAAAGAAGAAAAAACTGAAATCGGCACATATTCAGCTCACACACAGAGTGAGAGATGCTGGTTTTTGTTTTCTTTTGCGTCTCTTTATCTGTTCGCCTTGTTACGGATTGTATGTATCACCTCGGGCATCCTTTAACCACATTTACACAGAACACACATATACACAAATCTACTATAGTATTTGCAAACACTTTTGATTATGCTTGAGAGTTTTTCTTTTGCGATTTTTTTCTGCTACTGCTGCTGCTGCTGCTGCTCCTTGCTGTATATTTCTATTTGATGCTAGCGAGCCCACAGACAGAAACACATACACATCATCAATATAGTATATGAACACTTCGTATCCTGTGTGCTTTTTATTTTGTTCGCACACTGCCTCGTGGAGAACGTAGGCAAGTAAAAGAAAAAAAATATTACTCTATTACGTAGACACCCGTATGAAGTGCATAAATTATCGCCTTATTTCAGTGTTCGGCTGTGTAATTAAATAGTTCAACAAACAGAAGTGCAAAATGTCATTTGTTCTGACTCTTTTCGCTTTTCTTCTCGTTCGTTCGCTCGTTCGTTCGTTTGGTTCACTCGCTATGAGTTTCTATGGTATAGGCTATAGCCAGTCAACGTTGTCGTAGTCGTACACACTCACAACGCGTTTATTATTAAATATTCGTGTTGTCGAAGAGCAAAATTCACACCATTAAACGTGGAACTTTTCGCAACGCTGCCTTTGTGTGTACGCCTCGCTTAGCTCATACTCTTGCCCGCTTTTTGTTTTATCGTTTACTTTCCCAGTGACACTGCGTGCACGCATCCACTCACTCTCGTTCGAACTCACTGTTTAGTAGATATGCGTCGTTATGCGCGCACATATAAATGTCCATTAACGAGCCGATTTATTTTTCGATTTTATTTGCGTCGGCTGTTCGAAATGGTGACCATGGTGTTTTGGATGCTGTCTGAAAGTGCTTTTGTTTTTTTCTTCTGCCTTTGTTCCCTCTCTGTCTTTCACTCTTCGATGACTTTCGATGCTTTTACGTGTCGTAGATTCTGTTTGATATCGTTTCTTTATAGTTCATTAACAACCATTAACGACGAGAATGCCAAGACACGCACATTCAAACGGAAATCGATTGACATGGGACGAGCAAGAGTGAAAGAATAAATGGGAAGAAAAGGCGAACCTGAATAACCAAACGACAACGATTTCTGCTGCTCTTCCAATGGCCCATTTGCTCCCTTACAGTACACAATTATACATTATTTTATAACAGCACTAACACAACTTTTTATTTACAATTAGACAGAATGCGTAAAACTCTCCGTGTCTATCTTTTATTGTAACGCTATTCACTGGTCTCAGCCTCTTCGATACTTTTCTGCTTAGTATGCTTGTAGTGCTGTTGCTTTGTTGTCGCTGTCGTTGTCGTTGTTGTCGGCGTCCTTGTTGATGTTGCCGTCGTCTTCGCAAGTTTTCGTTGTCGATTCTCAAAACGCACAACGTCTTTACAACCACCACTTGGAATTCCCTCGGTGCAAATTAATACATTTAGCTTACGGCCACACTTATACTTATGCTTATAGACATATACAGCAAGTAATGCATATCCATTTGGCTCCGGCCAAAGTTTTCCTCTTGTATTGCTCCAATGAAGAATGAAGATGAACTGAATCTCGCAAGTTTTTGCGTATAGTTCGTTTTATGGCACACAATTGCTTGAGCGAGCGCGCGTGCAACGGGCGGACATCAAATCAAATAACAAAACAGAGTACATACGTTTTTATCCATGTTATGCATAGCTTCCGGTTCATGTAATTAAAATATATTCAGCGTTTAGTGACGGCAACAGTGGCCCCGAATATACTACCCAGCATCAGCGCCAATAGCAAATGAGAATGAGAGCATCCAGTATATTGGTAAGTACTAATTCTAAACTTTTTTTTGTGCTTTGCTTTTGTTGATGGTGTTATGCTGTTTCTTTTGTTTGCAGGAGTTACTTCAGTGTTTCTGTCTATTCTACAATATTGAATGTATGCAACGTTGAACATATATCATGATCTGCTCGTTTGTACCAGCATCGAACTACTGCTAGTATTCGACTTTCACAAGTTCTTCTGTCTATCTTGTCTCTCTCTCTCTCTCTTCGGTTTCACTCCTCCTGGGTGTAGAAGGAATTTTCATCAAGCTAACAGAGCAGCACATCACCTGCGGAGATATAGAGTGAACGAGATAGGAATTTGGGGAACGTGAACATAAAATTGTTTATATTTAAAATTGTAGTTAGACGTGTAAAAAGCACGCTCTCCCCAACCTTCCTTCGGTTTAAGTTTTCCTGTTTTGAACTTTGAGCTTTGGCCTTACCTTAAACAATATCCATTGTTTCAATTAAACAATATCCAACTTGTGTATGAGTGTTACACAAAATGCAGTCTATTCCCATGTTTTTGTAGATCCTTTGTGCTCAATTCGGTGAAATAATTTTCTGATTAAAACTCTTTGCGATGGCAGAAAAAAAAACTTTGCGCAACACAAATTTGTTACGATTGTTTTGTCAGCAGTGTTCTTTCATTACATTCACATGACGCAGTGTGTGGGAGAGCGCGTGCAAATACAATCTCCGTTGATTAAATACTATTGAATTCCTGTGCACACGAAAATGTTTTATGTTTAAATCAAAACAACTGCACTAAAATGTTCATACAGTGACATGTATTTTGTAAATCATTGCCGTGGGAAATTCTATCAATTGTATGCGGTTTAACGTTGTTCGTTCGGTCTATTGTTTGATCGACATTATTTGATAATCCACCTTGATTGTTGATTGTGTTCGTCAACTCTCGCTCTTGGTAAACCTCGTCGTTGTCGTCGTCGCCACCGACGTCTCTAACTCGTTTACTCTGCACTTGGCTTTATCGTATAATTGTCAAACGCGGTCACAACACACAAAAACTTTGTGATTCGCACTAAAACTAAATGCCAAACCGAAACTGAACAATTCCAAAATAATTCAGCACCCGTTGGCATCATTCACTAAACAAGAACTTTATGCGTTGACTCGATTTATTTATTTAAGTTGATTCTTTTGTTTGTCGTTGCCGATATATATGTATATATTCAAAGTTCGAGAGGCGGACGATGAATTTATCTCAAAAACTTATCTCTACTCTGTATATATATGTATGTTTGATGTGTGTAGAAGCATGACTGTCGCCTTTAGCTGCATAATCTCTCATTCTATCGCCCATGTAATCTGTGTGCCATTTTCATTTAAATCTTTCATCGTCGACGCTGGCATTTACTCATGTCATCCGGATTCTGATAAACTCGCACATATAGCAATATACACAAAATCTTGCACGCACATACACGCTTCTCATTTTCTTTACTGGGTGAAACTGTGTCGATGCTGCTGTTGCTGCTGCTACTGCTACATAACCAAACCACCAAAAAATAGTCAGTCGTTCAAGTTCAATCTGTCGAAAATTATCTCGAGAAAGTTGAAAACAATCCAATGGTGCTCATCACATTAAACCATACATCGTAGATAATGTGTTGCTAAAATTTGCTAACAGCTTATGACAAAACGGCCTCGATTTAGTCTGCGTGACATCTAATGAATAAATGTCCTAAACTGACAATGAATCCCGGCATTTAATCCAACAAAAAAACAAAAAAGAAAAATCTTTTCACATGAATTATAGGAAAATGAAATGAGTCGACGAATGGAAAAAATATATCGTCTATCTGTCTTGATGTAATAAACAGTCGGTGCGAAGATAAGAAATGAAATGAAATGAAATGAAATAAGAGCGAAACGAAGAAAAAAAAATTTGTTCAAATATCTTGAAGTTCGTTGCTTTTGATTTGTTTCTTTACACTTGCTCGCCTTTGATAAATGTTCACAATATTTCACTTAAATTTTACACATATGCGCGAATAAAATTTCTTCGCATACCAACCCCCTTCTCAATTGAAGGTTGCATGAATCTCGCTACACGTATATTCACTGACTGCTGAACTAGGGAACAAAAATTATGCGAAGTTCATCCCATGTGACGGCTGAATTCAGACTGAGTCGCTTTTCCATTTCGTCTGGATAAAAAGGGTGAAGATTTTCTGCTCTGTGCACTATTTTGCCGTCGAACGCACAAGCTGTTGTCTGTACACACAGTTGGTCGGTATAGCAAGATTATTCCACTTACATCGTTTGCCCTCTCGAACTGTTATACTGTATGTGGTGGGTGTACGTACAGCACAAGCATATGATCAACACGATGGAGGGTGAATAATTCTCTCTGTTCGAATTCATGGTATTTGCACTCTCGCTCGTTCGCTCTCTCCCTCAACACGAGGAACCATTCCCTTATACTGTTGCGGCGCGAGGTGCTGCAAGCATATGCGGCTGCGACGGCTGCGACAGAGGAGAGTCAAATTGAATGTACATATTGGGTGTTTTAGTATGGCACCGCCGAATGTGAACGATAGCGACGGCGACGGAGAAAATTGATAGAAAACATACATTTCATTTGGTTAAGTGCATGAAAGATACTGCCACACACACAGAGAGAGAATGGGAACGAAATTTGCGATGGAGTCTCTATCATTCGCATTAATCCTGTATAGGATAACAAGCTCCCATATTTACTAATGTATTTAAAAAAACATTTGAAGCCGCAAAGCATTCACCAACCATCGTTCACTTGATGTTTACCGCTTTTGTGGCACAATGTGCACAGGAGGATACTCGCATATATGCATACATATATTTTCAAAAGACCCAAAGTGAAAGTCAAAATAAAATCCGAAAATAAATTGTGATATGATATACACTCACACGATAGCTAGACAGTTCGACACATAGTTGAAATATAGATAGATATAGAGATGTGCAGATGTGTGATTCGCTCGTCGTTCGTATTATATTATATCGCATTGACATCGGTTCACGCTCCTCGTTGCCCCGTCCTCATCGTCGTCGTTGTCGTCGTCGTCATCGTCGTCAATTTTACTTTCATTCAAATGTCTGTTTGCTTTACTGATGTGCACGATATATAGTGTACACTGTACACATTGATTTGCCGCCATTCATATAGCAACGATTCAATGGAACGATTTGGCACTTATTAAATTGAGTTCGATGTTGATGGGCACGCAAAGCATTTGTTTTACTAATCGACACAATCCGCGCGAATCGCTATTATTTATCATCGACAAAATATTCAATTTCGTTACACCCACACAAACAGCGTGCGGAATAGTGCACAGCAGCAGAATAGGATGAATGCAGTGACAAAACGATGGCGTTCCTATGATGTATGTAATGATTTAAGGTTTTTCCATTAAATTGATTGCGATTGACAACTTTTAAGTGCGAATGTCTTCTTACCGAACAGCGACATCAACTTCTGACCTTTGCACACTTTCCATTGTTGTGCTCGGTTGCCCTGAAGCAATAATTTGAACTCTAGTAATTGAAGTGCCTCCACTTAACGGGTCTTTGTGCTCCATTTTACAAACCGTTCGCTATTTTCAACTATTTTCTATTGGTGGCGCTGTTGATACGACACATTCATTTCACCATATATGCACATGCGAAATAATGTGCGACGTTCATTGTATTTAAAGTGTCGCGTTTCAAAATAATTGTCATAATTCCAGAAATAAATTGAAGACAAACAATTGTTTCAAGTAGATGCTCAACCTTCTGAAAAAAAAAATTTGTCTTTCAAGCCGACAGAAAATAATACCGGAATTTCTCAAGGCAAGAGAATTTTTTCGCCTATTCCGTTCTCACGTCGAATAATATATTTATTTTCAAAGCAAATATTTTGGACTACGCTTCTTCCCCCGCAAAACATTTTATCTTTATGTAAATGCACTCAACAACCTTCGATATGATTAATATGTATATTGATCAACAACCGCCCGACATGCGAAGTAAAGTGGCTCAACCGAAAATAAAGTCTTCCAATTTAGAAAATCCAATTAGACTAGATTACAATCGCACTTGTGCCTCAAAATCGAACGCATATCAATTCGAATTCGATCGAATATCGAAGACAAACTGATGAGATTTTCAAACTGTTCGTGCATAAGATTTATAAATCACATAGATTAAAGCTGATTCTACCAGTATACAGCGCAGACGGTAGACGCGAGTTTTTTTCAAATATTTGCATAGCCATTGTAATTGTTAGACTCCGTACGATGACACTGGCAGACTGGATTATATGGAAACGAAAAAAAAAACTTATTTAATGAGTAAACATCTAAAGTGGAGCAACTTTTTTCGAGGTTACCGTGTTGTTTTTTGTCCACGTCGTTCCCATGGTAATTTGAATAACTGTTCCGAAAATAAACAACGCCAAAATTAGCGTTTAAATTGATTACCTTCTGCATCAATTAAGTGCGATGCTTTGTTATCGTACGCACAGCGTAGAAAAAAATCGCACATTTTTTTCACTCTCAATTTGATTGAAAAGATGCCAGTCCTAGATAGACGAAATGAGTACACGCATACAAATCCATATTTATGCACAAGCAAAATAATATTGCTCGAAACCTGCTCTTTTGTTCTATTTCAATATTTGAGTTTGTGAGCACAGAAAAGGAGACGAAAAATGATGAAGAAAAAACAATGTGACGAAATAATAATTGTTATTCTCTTTGAGAGTATAAAAGTAGATCTCAATCGAAGTTGTTCGCAATCACAAAGTTTCATTAGTGACAGAAAGTAACGACGACCACACGAAAAAAAAAAACAGACAAATTGACAAAATGTTCAAGAAGACGATTTTAATATCATTAATTGCTTTATCGCTTACTGTGAGTTTCCAAACTAACTTTCCGTGAACATAATAAGAAGTTTAATTGTAATTGTATAAATTTTTAATGAATTTCCATCAAATTTGTCTAGCTTCATGTTGCCAATGGCGCGGCCGTGCAGGTACAATCAGCAGCTGATCCACAGCCAAGATCGTTTGATGGCAGAGTTAATAGTATCTCGCCATCGTATAGTGCGGGATCGAGCACCGGCCAAAATAGTGCTGCTGTGAACCAACGCAACGGTTTTGATTCACAAGCATTACCACCATTTTCACCAGGTTCCAGATTACCATCATCAAACGTTGGTTTTTATCCTAGCTATTACACTTCACAGGCATCGTATGGTCAACCGCAACCCGCTCCAATGTATCAGCCAAGCATGTTGAACCCGAGCGCATACGGTGGATTTGGTAATATTGGCTATGCACCAAATGCCATATCAAGTTATGCTCACCCAGCCTATTATAACCAACCTGCTTATGTTCAGCCTGTTTATGATCCTCGCTCCATCGCTAACACATATGCCAATAATATGCCATCGCAAGCATATCAAGCACAACAACTTCAACAGCAACCACACTTCCCATTCTATAGAGGTGGAATTGGTCAACGATTGAAATCGGAAGAACCGAAGAAACCATCACAATAATCAGATCCATTTTAACGAACAATTTGTCCATCAAACACCTTATTATTTTTAGTTTGCATCATTTTTATCGATGGCAATACAAATAGCTGTAGTTTTATTCAACACAATATGAATAAACCGAATAAAAACACATTACATTCAACGCATCGTTGACCTTTTCTTTTCGTCGAACTCTACTGTTTCCCCCTTAATTGTGTGGATTTCTTTTCATCATACTCAAATGAAGTACTTATGAAGTATGAACTTGAACAATCCAAACAAAAAACGCTTTTTCAACTCAGAATTGAATCAACTGGCGAAAAAAAATATTACGAATGACTATTTCCATTGCAGAGTGTAGTATTCGTTGAATGCAAATAAATTCAATTAAATTTTGCGGTTAAATTGAAAACAACATTCATACTGCTTCGCTTTGTTTGGACAGATGTTCCGGCATTGTATGGATGCGATGCGCGCTGCGTGGCGTCTACAGAATTATTCACGCGTTTGAATTCTCACGGTTTGCAATTCAAGCAGTCAAAGAAGAGAAAAACGTCGTTCATTATACATCGTAACGTGAACTACTGAAGTGCTAACATAGAAAAGTTATAAACTCAGTTGTGAAGATAAAAAATAAAATAAAATAAAACTTGGGTGGAAAGCTTGTAAAATGAGGTGCTTCAAAATCATTGCGATAATTTCTGTGATACAAATCAAGATTGGCATGAATATACTTTTCATCTATTTATACATTCAGCCGCTCATTATGGAGGTAATTTTAATTAAACTCTCAAAATATTCCTTATTAAAACTTTTTATATACTTACAAAATGCCGAAGAAGAAGAAAAAGAAGAAGAAGAAGAAAAAACCAATTTCCACTTCTTTCATCTATTTTCGTAGAGCGGCGCAACGATGCCGGCCAACTCATTCATTGACGCACTCATAAATCCATTCGTTAATTTATTCGCTTATGTTGGGCTTCCGGTACAAAAACGCGAGTTATATCCATTTAGCGATCAAGAAATTCCGGCGAATGTTCAAGAAGTAAGCAATTTTGAGCCCGAAACTCCGGCTAAAGTTGTGGAAATTGTTGATCCAAACGCTAATTTGAATTATAAACCATGGTTTAATCCAATCGAACATATTGAGTGTGGACCAGAAATTCCAATTGTATTAGTTGATAAAGGCAAACAAATCGTTATAATGAGATCGTTCCGAATGACTTCCCTGAATGACTTTCAATGGGAACGGTATAAGAAAGTTTCGGAAATGAGAATTCCATCCGATTATGGATATGACAGAACACTAGAACAGCTGCTGGTGGAAGTGTCTCAAAGAAAGGAACCCAATGCACCGCTACGCTTTCGACCAGTACCAATTATAGTTCAAGGTGGACATGATGCGACGAACGCAAAACCAGTCACAAATCAGCAAATCAATAATGTAACTCAGTCTCAAGTCAATCCAAACACATGCAATCCATGCGAAGGCGAGAGTATTAAAACAAGGCCGAACTTCCCAGTTTATGCATCCAAGCTCTATGATTTGAGGCGTTTGTCAACGATAGGCCTACTAAATGCTTCTTCATTCAAAATAAACTAAGAAATTTGAATAAAGAGTTGCATCATACTTTTGAATGTTCCATTTATTTTCGTCAACAATAAAATATATGTGCATAGCAATAGCTTTGATATGGAGACGCCCGCATTTTCATTACACTCACTCCTTTGAAGGGGAATAAAAGCACTCAATTGGATGACAACCAAATTGCTATGCTGTGGAAACACACATATTTTTCATGTCACATTTCTCTGTGATGAAACAATCACCGAAAAAGCACTGAATCACAAGAGAACATTACACATTGTTGAGAAGGAAATGGAATGAGTGAGAATGTGCGCGTAAAATTTTAAATGTTCGGTCGCACGTTTGTCGCACACGGTACACACTCGATCGTCTCTCAAACTTGAACTTCACTCAATGCTTGGCAGTTTGGACAATATGCAAATGTGTATAAAAGGCTCAGCGAGTGAGTCAGCTGTTCTATAATACATTTGCTCAGCCTATATAAAAGTGCTCACTTGTTAAGCTGCTGATGCAACAATTTTAGTCGTTTTCACCATTAGCAGTGATATATATAAACAGCGTTCGTTGACAGTTGACTACCAGAACTGAATCAGTTTTACACGGAACGTTGTAGCGACCGGATCGAAGAAAAAGTGTCTGCCGATAAACGATTATTCGTTGAAGTTATTTTCTTGAAAATACGATTTCATTAAAGTTCAATCAAGTTCAAGTGAAACACAAGTAAAATCCCAAAAAGAAACCAACAACGACATTAAAAATGTGCGGAATTTTAATAGTTATTTCACCAGTTGGTGAAATAAAAATTTCACCGAAATTCGGCAAACGAATTCGATCGATACGTGAAATGGCGTACAAGCAATCGAAAAAACAGAGACATCGTGGCCCCGATCATACAGGTGTTGTTGCCATCCCAGAAGACGATGTGATTTTTGTGCAAGAACGTTTGGCTGTATTACTGCCCGAGACCGGTGATCAACCGCTGAAATCCCAAGATGGATCAATTATTTTGGCAGCCAACGGTGAAATTTACAACTACTTGGAATTGTCGGCTGAAATTGCAAAGCAAATGGGTAAATACGAACCGCGAAGTGATTGCGATGTGATTATCGCCATGTACGAGCAATTTGGCAGTGAATTAGTACAGCATATTACGGGAATGTTTTCGTTTGCATTGTACGATAAGAATGCCAAACGATTGCTCGTTAGCCGTGATCCAATTGGCATTATACCGTTGTACAAGGGCGTCGATGATATGGGCAATTTATGGTTTTCAAGCGAAATGAAGTGTCTGGCAGACATTTGTGATACAGTCGAAGACTTTGAACCCGGCACGCTGTTAACGGTGGAAAAAGGCACAGTTACACAGACGAAATATTATCAGCCGACATGGATTAGCGAAATCCCGACAAGCAAAGCCGATTTAACATTGTTACAACAGAAATTAGTCAGTGCTGTTCGTTCACATTTGCAATCGGATGCACCGTTTGGGTCATTGCTATCAGGCGGCGTAGATTCGAGTTTGATCGCATCGATTGCAACGCAAATTCTGCGTGAACGCGATCCCAACTATCGATTGAAAACGTATAGCGTTGGATTGGAAAATGCACCCGATTTCAAATACAGCCGAATAGTTGCCGACTACATAAACAGTGATCATCGTGAGATTATCTTTAAAATTGAGGACGGCATCGATTGCATTCGTGAAACAATCTATCACACTGAAAGTTATGACATAACAACCGTGCGATGCAGCATTCCAATGATTTTAATGGCACGTTTCATCAAATCGGAAGGATTAAAAATGATTTTGTCCGGTGAAGGGGCAGACGAAATATTCGGCGGATATTTGTATTTCCATCAAGCGCCAAACGCACAAGAATTCCATCATGAATTGGTCAACCGGGTGTTGTCACTGCATAAATTCGATTGTTTGCGTGCAAACAAAGCGACAATGTCGTACGGTTTGGAATTGCGTGTGCCATTTTTGGACACTGGATTTTTGGATCATGCAATGAACATTCGGCCAGAGGATAAAATGGGTGGCGTTAAGAACCAATTTGCCCAGGAGAACGGTCGTCGCGTTGCACGCATTGAGAAACACATTTTGCGTGCGGCATTTGCCAACGATTTTTTGCCCGATCAAGTTTTGTGGCGACAAAAGGAACAATTTTCCGATGGTGTCGGATATTCATGGATTGATTCGATTCGTAGCTACGCTGAAAATTCAGTCGATGATGCCGAATTCGCACGTGCTCAAGAAATCTATCCAATCAATACACCAGCAACCAAAGAAGCATTCTATTATCGAGCTTTGTTTGAAGAAATTTTCCCCGGTAAATCATTCGCACAAACAGTCACGAAATGGGTTCCAAGGTTGGATTGGGGCTGCAGCCAAGATCCATCGGGCAGAGCTCAAACCGCGCATACAGCTGCTTACAAAGATAAATAAACCAAAACAACAATATTTACAATAAATGTTTTGTATCTGACTGTAATAATCATTCAAAATTATTTCCCAATTTCGATTCGAAATTCGTAAAGTTATCAATTAGGTAAATTTAAAGAAGAGAAGACGAAATTAATTTTATACGCATAAACAAATATTTTAGAAAAAACAAACAAACAAAAATCTTAGATTTAAGACAATTGAATTTGTAAAACCCCGGTTTTTGGAATGGTCAAATTAAAGCATTATTTATTATTATCTTTCGTGGCAATGAAACTCACGTTTTTTCTTTCAATATCATTTTTTGTGAGACACGTCGACGATATTTATTTGCCTCACGATTTTATTTATAGTATCGAACAGATAACAATTAGCCATGTGTTAACTCGAAGCGAAAGGCGTATGAAACTCAGCAATGAACTTCAGACTTAAGGGTGTAGTGTGACTTTTGGAGTCGCGCAAGACCAGCTTTGTTTTCCTTAACACATGAATTGATCGAATTTTCCGAATACAAATCCAACACATTTTATTTTTATTCATTCGAGCATATCGTGTTATGCTTACGTCAGTTCTATGAAGTCGTTTAATATGCTAATTTACTGCGACCGTCTTCAAAATGTGTGTGATATAGTTACCGGCGGTGCCGGCATGATTTTCTGTAAAGCATTCATAATGAAATACGTGTGTGCCAGCTGCTAGCACTGTATCGCTGAGAACGCATAATCAATCTATTCTCGGCCGTAGAAACCGGTTAGCAAAATTACTCAAGAATAGAATAAAACGGTTAAATACAATTTCGTCTAAAAAAATGACAAAATCGTCTAACAACAAGTTCATTTCAAAAAATCGTATGTATTTTCACCTCTCAAAACCATAGGGGTATTGCAACGACCATAAAATATATGAGGCTGTGAGAATGAAAATGGCAATACAGGAATAAACATTCTGAAACGCATCAAGAAAAAAAATTCGCAAAAATAAATCATGAGTTCTGAATATGCAAAAGTGAAACATGAGTTTACATGGGCAGCATAGGAGGTTCATGGTTCACTTTTGCGTATTCAGAACTCATGATTCACTTTTGCGAATTTTTTTTTCTTGATGCGCTTCAGAATGTTTATTCCTGTATTGCCATTTTCATTCTCACAGCCTCATATGTATTTCATCAAGTTTATCAAGCTCTTTCCAACTTTATGCATAGTGTCGAACTTTTGTTCAAGCTCTACCATCTAAATGTACAGTAAAATAATTTACGGGCACGACGTAAGATGGCGTTTTTTCTGGTCAAAAAAGTTGCAATATCCCTTTGCTCAAAACGTAACATAATCGTCAAAAAAGGCAGAGAAGCTTCTTGCCTTAAGGCATTAAATTTGAATCATTAAATGTGACAAAACCATTTAAAATTCCAATAATAACTGTTTGTTGACAATTATAGCCTTATTGATATTACTGGCATCAGTCAATGACAGAGAGTTGAGGATATATGCTAAGCACAGAAACTCAGTAAACTGATATTGGGATGTTTTGATTTTGTGACTTGCTATCCACGAAAACTTATGATGGAAAAGTGAACTTGAGACACATTTTTCCAGGTTTTTCATTATATTTTTCGTCGTAAGTTCATTTTTTACTCACGTAAATCTGCATCTGCCAGTGGCAAAAGTTAAATCTCTCTATTTCAGTTTGCTGGGTTTCTATGCTATCTGTCATAGACCACCAGTCGCAGGTCAAATGTTTGAAAAATCTTACATCATTTATTAGAATTTTGGAAAGTTTTGTCACATTTCATCCATCGGCATTCTCTGCATTTTTAAACGATTGTGTCAAGTTTTAAAAAATACGAATGAAATAAAATTGTTATATTTTTAGATGGTATTGTCATGGACGTTTTTGTCAATTTTTTAGACGTTTTTGCTAGGGGGATTTAACTACGTGAAAACTTGTAAAAAAATGATATAAACGCGCACGAAATTGTTACATTCACCAGAGAACTTGCATGATTCCACTCAGTTGACAAGTTCCGTATTAAAACAACATGCGCGAACGCGCGCGAGTTCGTGTGCAAACTTGTAGCTGGACGACGCGCACACATCAGTCGTTCCATTTATTATATCTGGATTAACTTTTTCTTCAACACTTTCTCCAGCTCTTTAAAAATATTTCCTTTGTCCATTTTATAATTATATAAATCTTTGAACTTTTGGAAAGGATGTGAAAAATCTTTATACACGTAAACAACCGATTTTTAGCTTGAAACGCGTTTTAATTGTCAAATAACAACTTGAAAAACGCGCAAAACCATAAACAAACTTGTGTAAACTTGTGACCGTGCGCGTCAGTACGTACAAGGAACGCGTCGAACTCCCGCGAATCAAGCAAACTGGCAAAAAACATGCTGAACTCGTAAGAGTTAAATTCCCCTAGCGTTTTTGTCAATTTTTTAGACGTTTTTGTAATCAGCCTGTAAATATATACAAAACAGATCCGATACTCGTTTGCAAACCGGCTTCTGTTGGGGTTTTTCCTTTCTTCCCTTTGCTACATCGATTAAAATGAGATACACTCGGTTCGTTGCGGTTAATTCGTTGCCTCATTGAAATGATTTTACAGAGCGTGACCTAAGCAGTTTTATTCGGCTGATTACAAAAAAACGTCTAAAAAATTTATATTTACATAATTCTGTCATTCAGACAACAAGAACTCTTATCAATTTGCAACGTGTGCGTTGATTCTTTTTTTTGCATATTCAAGCGATGAGTATTGTGCCACTCAGTCAATACTTACGACTGCTCTTCTTTCTACACCATGATTCGCGCAGAAAATTTCAAAAGTTCCGTCTGAATTTGGCCAAAATGTCAATTAAACCATTACAAAAAAAAACGCGATCCAGTTTTCGATTATTTGAACTTATTTTATTTTTCGTGTTGTCGAGTTGTATGAAAACAACATTTTTTTGTTTTATATGTATGAATACATGATAATATTATAATAAAGTTAATTTGATAATTACATCTATTTGTGTGTGTATGTCGGTCTGTCTGTTAGACTGTCTATTGAGCTATTAAATGCAGCGGTATTAAATTAGGAATGATTTATTAAAAGTGAGTTGCCATGCGATTGATTGCAGATTATTTCATTGTTGCAGGTGTTTTAACCTTGTACTCGTGCGCTTCACCTTATAACTTGTTTTTTTTTTTACATTGACTCTCTTTTGATTTTTCCCCAGTTATTATCGGTGTGTCTCTTAAGGTATTGCGCATTTTATGGAAAAACGAACATTTTGGCTTAATACAAGTCATTCATGCGGTGTTTCGAGTTTCCACTCTCCTTCATCCACATATTTTTATTTCTAAATTGCAAATAACTTTTTTTTATTGCCCACGATTGAAGAGCATTAAATCCATTACACCTACATACACAATTTGTTTTATATTGCGAAGCGAATTTATGTAATTTCTATTCTAACAATTCGTTGTGTCATTTTTGTTTGCCAAAAAACAAAACAAGGGAAAAAAGTTTCAATTATACATTTTCATTGCACTAAATCTGCCTCCCAAAAATATTATGAATAACCAAAAAGATGAACGAAAATTTATATATAAAAAAAAACAATAAGAAAAATAAATGCACACATTCATTCTGTGTTTTGAGGAAATCTGTGTATGTGTCCGTCAATATGCAGTAAAATGATAAACGAATTTGCATATCGAACACATCTCCACGTCAGCGAAAATGCTGTCATTTTATCTTTTCTACTACATTTAACAATTAAAATTCAATATTTACACAGTGAACGAATAACATTCGTCGCGCCACTTATCTTTTGTTTTCCTCGCTGTTCTGCATGTTCTGTTCGATTAATATTTACGATAAATGCTAGTATTTGACATTTGATGCAATAGAATGGAATTATGTTTTTTTGCTGCTTTTGCTACTACTTACAACTTACACTATTTTTTATGTATATGTTGAGTAAGAGTTTGCTCTTCATTTTTTTTGTGAATGTCAAACTTTTTTTAAATGGAAACGAAATTCTTATTCAAATAAAATTTAGAACAAGCTTACACAGTACAGGGGGAAAATAGGAAAAAATAATTTATTTGTTCAATCAAAAAAAAAAAAAATAACAATCGAAGGAATGCATGTTTGTGCTGCTTCGAGACAAATTAAATTTTATATGCGAATATTTGTCGATAATGCCCCAATTTCTTGCATATTCTGTTTTTTGCTACAATATATTAAGTGCTATAGTATGTGATGCTGGTTGATATGTTCGAAATTTGTTTGCATACGTTTTCTGCTGTGTATTCATTCTTTGAGTAAACACATCGGGACCTATCCACTGAAATAAAGTACTCGTCAGCTTCTATACTTGACACCATCGAAAGCCGCTTTCATAAGATGGAGACGGTTAAAGTGTGTTAAAAGCTGCTCACGCTTTTGCTTGGTTCATTTTTGAAATGAGTTCATTTAAAGAGTTCATTCAATAGGCTTTCGTCCTTATTCCATATGGAAAACCGTGTCTTTGTCACCAGCGATCCACACTTTGCAAATTACTATATTTCTAGTTGAGTATATTAAGCAGAGAGTTCTGCAGATTTTATGTTGAAGTCGTATACCATCCGGTTGAGGGTGCACCTTTGTGATACAAATGGAATCCGGTGTGATGTGAGAAGTATTGCGATTGATCAATGCCACTGTAAGCATCGATTGAGTTGACATGATGCATGGCTGCAGCAGCCGAATACGGTTGTGGTTTCAGCGGTAACGATGGGAGTGTGTCATTCATGCTTGACGCTGTGCTGGCAACCGTTCCGTTGGCAGTGTATTGATTCCGTAGTGAATCCGATAAGTCAAATGTGTTTGTCGTTGATGGATGAAGATTTGTAAGGGTTTTATTGTTGGCCACAGATCCAACCGATGATTCGCGCGGGCTTACACTGCTTGGTGGTGTCATTGCATTGTGATAGTCCATTGTTGATGGATAACCACCGTATGGTGACACCAAATTTGTATATGGATCTGGCTTTTGATGACCGTGCAACAAGAATTGGTTGTCAAATGATGATTCACTGCCGGGTGGCGTTGGTAGAGGACCAGATGATGATCCATCTATTGAAAACATGGAAAATTGAATAAGAAGAAGTGGTGGGGAAAATTCAAAATTTGAGCATACAAATTTATACAAAATTCTGACTTCTTCATATTGGAATGAATTTAGAACTAAACCGACTTTTTGAAGCAAAAAAAAGACTCTTACCCGGATAGTACACGCCCGATGAAGTTTGTCTAGCCGTGGCTCGAATGACACTTTCACGATTCGCATACAGTTGTCTCAGCAATGCGGTCGCTGGCATCGGTGCATTTTGCTGATGAAATGGATTATGATGTGTTCCAATCCACTGAATTGTGCTGCCTTTGTCTTGTTGCTGCTTCAACAGTGAATCGGCACTGAAATCGGTCGTGGTGGTATTGTTTGTGCTATTGTTATTATTGCTATTGATTGGTGAGGGAAGATGTTTTGACATCGCATTCTCCAAATCCTTAACCGAACTCTCTCCATGCTCGTCTCCATGCGATTCGGAAGGGTTAATGTTTAAGGCAACGCCATTCACTTTTGGCTCGGCCATCATCGACGATGCATCGGAATCAAGATGCTTGGCCTTGCGTTTGTGACCCTTTCGGGCTGTGGATCCAGAGCTCACTGGTGTTGGTATCAAATGTTCATCGGGTATCGGTCGAATTGTATTGTCCATTGCCAAATTGGTTATCGATGAACTAGTTGATGAACGATTTCTCGCCCGTGAGCTTGGATCCGGTGTTTCTGACTTTGGTGTCTTGTGCGTGTGTTCATTTGTGCGATGCGATGTCTGACTGCCATCAGACGGATCATTTCCGGGCGATCCGGCGCCTTTATCACCAGACAAATCTTCATGTTTGATTATGTGCTCCAAACCGTTCTCCATCTGAATGCAATCCAATATTAAATTCTCATTTTCACGATTGCTCACCACATAATTTACGCAGATAATATTTTGTTCGTCAGCATTTTTCGAATTGCAAACAACCGTGGCACAGGTTTGCAGCCAGGTGTATCCACCGTTTTTGTTCATAAAACGATAGTAATGAGTCAACACTTGGCCTTTGTTTATAACTGAATGAAAGAAAGAGGAAACATTTGTCGAATAAAGTGAAAAAAGTACGCATAAATTGTTCAAAAAGCCAAATTGTCAATGACTACTCACGATCCAAATGGTTCTTTTTCAATTTGTCAGCATCTTCAGCGTGGCATAAATTGTATAAATTTCGACCAGTCAATTCTTCGGCTGTGTAATCCAACAGCTCGGTGACCCTGAAAATAAATACCGATTGTATTAAAATCAGCTATTTGTCAACCAAATTTACACATTATGACTCAATCGGGATTTTTCTACGTACTTTGGTTCACAATGTGCGATTGTGAAATTGAAATTGATGCGTGTGACAAACATGTCGGTTTCCAATCGGATTTCATGTACTGATGGAGGTGGCAGCGCAATAGCCAGCGCGACCATTCCCAAAAGTGGGGGCTGTGATTTCCGTGTGTGTGAGTATGTGTACTGCGGTCGTAATCGACATAACATTAACACCACCTAAAAGACACAGAGAAAGAAACAAATACCGATCACGTTATTCATCAATCGATATGAATCATTGATGCAAATGCTTATGAAGTAAAAAACGAACTTCGACTGATTTTTTTTTAGTGAAAACAAATGAAATTGCTTCTTGTTCATGTTTTTGCAAAAGCCATTCGTTATCAAGCGGAAGTTATTCGATACTGATCGATAAATCAGTTCTGTTCGTGTGAGATGCAGTTTCGTCTTAGCCAAGAAAAACAAAGTTCAATTAAAGACAAACATAAAACACTTTCACATACACACAAACATACACACACTATATTCCCGTGTCTATACAGAAAAGAAAGGATCAAATGCAAGCAGAAAAGAACAAACGACAGAAAACTAAAAAAAAAAAGTGTTTTAATTTGGGCGGTAAAACTAAAAACGACCAAATTTATTGGAAACAAACAAACATCACAAAACTGATTTGGTACGTACCGAATAATGATTGCCAGTCGATTTACCAACTTTGCCACCGTTGTTTACTACTTTATCAGAATCCTCGTTACCCTGCAGGCAATTGTACATTTTACATTAGAACTAAATGTGGACAAACTCGCACTTCATTCACATAGATGAAACTCAAAAGCGATTACTTATTCTTAATTTAGAGATCAGTGTGGTTGCTTTTCTGTGTGGTTTTGGTTGAAACTTAAAAATTAATATGCTATCGGAATCGCAACACACACAAATTAAAAGAAATCGGATGAAAAATCAGGAAAAAAGCGTAGAACAAACGGAAATCAACTCCTAATACCGATCGTTGAACAGACGAATTGAGTCTAAGCTTTGCTTGCTTCGTTTTTTATTGTTTCGTTTAGTCTAGTCAAATTCGTTTTTAATTTCATGAACTCCGTTTTAAATTGCGGTAATTGTGCCCTTACCCGATAGCCAGACGATTTGAAATGACATCCTCGTTTGGTCAACGTTGACTTCATTCGGATGCAAAATGCGCGTTCGTATCCTTTGTATGTGTTCGAAGCGACCGACATCACTGATGCAACTGTGATGAGATCAGCAATAGACAAAATGGAATTAAAATCAACGATTCCATGGTGAAGTCTTCCAAAGTAGAAGAAAGGAAGAAAAATGAAAAAAGAGAGAGGAAAATTACCATCTGGATTATTTGTTCCCTGATTTGCTCCACCATCTTCGGAGATGCCAGACGACGGCGATGCCATATTTTGATTGCTTGCTAAGCCCAAGCCCAATTGCTCTGCAATTTCAGCATGATCTTGATGATGAACATAGTCAAAAATGCTACTGCCGGTCATTTCAACCTAATGAAAAAAAGAGAGAAAAACGTTATTTCTTGCAGAAAATCGATAAGTTTGTGTCAGTCATTTATTTGCACGTTTCTCTACATTCTCAACTTCACAATCGGTTTTTTTTTTATTTTCGGTTTTTGAGATGACGAGTTCATTGACGTTTCGAAGGGTAGTAATTCATTTAATTGTACTTCAAGTCGTGGAATCCATCAAAATTGTGCGCGCGGGAGTGAGAGCGAGGCAGAGAGAGAGGAAAGAAATGATTGAAATTGTGGTCGATAACTTTCCAACAAAATTGTAACCTGCAACACAAGCACTTTTCGCCTACTATCGACCACCACCATCGCCATCGAATATTGGAAAAATTTCGACAAGGATTTTCATCGTACAATACATTCAAGCGACTGGAACACACACACACACATAAACAATTCGAAAACAAACGAATATCCTCTAGATTTTTTCTCGCTCTCTTTTTTGCTTCATAAAATTGCATGCCGATCACGTTTGCCGTTGTACGTGCAACTTTTTCGTAATTTCGTAGATTAGGAGCTTTTTCGTTTTTTCATCATTTCATTTCTCTCGTATTTGTTGAGTTTGTTTTGTTTACTATGGCAAAGGATCGGGGGCATCTCTCTCTCTCTCTCTCGCCCTCTATGCGCTGCCAAAAATGACGTAGAGTTCCTGATGCCGACCGATATGAGCTATGGTCAATGCATGCCATGGACACTTTAGATGCTTTGGTATGTGCTGTGTGTACGTGTAAAACGTTGGCAACAAGCGAGCGGGGTGCGCTCGTTGTACTACACATCGTCGTGTGTGTTGTAATTATTCTTTTTTTGATTCGCAAGAGGGTTGCAACTACTCGCAGCCACATTTATCATAGTTCCATAAATTTCGAATAAGAGAAGAATGTTTATCTTGCAAATGCGCTCGGAACAGTTGCACTGGATTAGTTTGGCACTAGTTCCACATTTCATTTATGCAAAAAGTACATAAATATTTTGACTGCTTAAAAGTGATTCAGTAAACCAAAATGCATGTTTGTAATTAGTCAGATTTTGCTTACCTGTGAAAGTCCCAAATAAATTGAAACTGTTTCCGATATATACAAAAAGCGACCATCGGAAGCCAGCGCTAAAGCAAATCCATCAAGCGACTGTTTTTTTAGGATAAAATAAATGGAATCGTTAGAAAGAGCGCATACATTTAGAGTTTTCTGTTGAAATGGATGGAAGATCGTTGAAAATGTAAGTCGCATGCATTTCTCACCTGTAAAATATGAGTTCCTTGATGCTGTTCAAACAAATCTATCGTCATTCCAGCGGGAGTTCGTCTCGATGCAGCTGAAATGTCAACAAAAAAATGTCGGGAAATAAATAAAACGAAATAAAATGCATTTTCCTAGCCAAAATTTTCATTGCACGTCGGGAAAATGCAAAAAAAGAATTGAGTGCTGTTCGAATTCGATTTATTTTAGATTATTGACGAATAAAATGGGATTTGCATGTGAAACTCAAGCACTGAGCACGAAGACGACGTCGACGATGACGATGGTTGACGAAATCTACATACAATCCAATTTTGCTCATTAAATGTGCTCATGATCTAAGTTTAGTGGCGTGAAAGTGGCCTTAACGATTCCGTTGCTAGAGAGAAAAAAGGCCATGTCGACATTGCGCCATTCTGAAATCGAACCAAAGAGAAATCGTCGTCAGTTTTTGTTCGCAGCGAGTGTAGCTAAATTCGTTCTTTCATTCGATATATTTTTTGTAAGTGTGCGAGTCTCGGGTGTTTGTCTCAGCAAAGTGGTCACTCGATTTCGTGTGTGCCAATGAAATTCAATTTATCATATTCAATGAGCTCATCGCGAGTTGCGAGCTGAAGGAGGAGGAGGAGGAGGAGGAGGAGGAGGAGAGCAACACAAAATAAACCAAGAGAAAAAAATCATAAAAAGCAAATCATATTCGGCACAGTTAAATGGAAAAGTACACCAACACATCAATTACCAGTGACCAGAATGGAATGAATGTAACACGAAGCAGAAATGCGAGAGCGCGATAGGGATAGAAAAAGTATTTTTTTTTTTATTACTTCATAGAAAAGACACCAAATTTATTTGTTTGATATAGAAGCGTACACGAGAAACCAAATGTGAAAAGCGACACAGAAAAAAAACAAAATAAAATAAAATGGATAGATAAAAACAATACGCAATGTGACATTATGGTGTGCATTAGTATTTCGAATATGTATGAAGGCACTGATAGAATTTTAAGTAGCTGCTAAAATGCGACATCTTTATTTTCTGTTACGTTTTATTTTGTTCGGTTGACGCAGACGACGTTGGCATTTTCCTTCAATATTATTCCATAAATTCTTTTCTTGATTTCATGGCTAATCTTCGGAATGCTTGGAATATATTGCACGGTAGATAGAATTGCACTGAGAGAGAGAGAGCCACACGGTAACAATGTCAAAATCCGCTTTGATGAGAACAGTTTTGGATTCCAAAAAAGGTGGTGCCAAGTCAGTTTCTACCAATGCCAGCCAGCCAGCCAGCACACACACACACACACACACACACACACACACAATACAAATCTCGAATTGATTCATGACATGGCCGACGCTCTTTCGACAAGGTAAAAAATTTACATATTTTTTAATCGGCTGCGTTTGTCAGCCGCATTTACATAGCGGAAATCGTTCAAGATTATTATACTGGCAACGAAAAGAGAAACAAATTGTCTGTCAACAATTGTGAAATCCTTTCTTGGTATTAATTTTTGTTTTTCGTTCATAAACAAAAGCAAACCCATTTATGATTCAGCAATGGGAAGCATTGTTCCATTTTGCATGTTTATCATAACAGCCAATCCAACGGAATAATTTATTTGAGTTGAAGGAAAATAATTGCGTTCTCCTTATACGAACAATCGTTCGGAAACAATAGATATAGCTAATAGAAACTGTAGAAATTGATGCACAATGTGTTTTTTTTTCTTCAAAATTTGATGAATTTTTTTCTCGATTTTTTCCAAATCCTTTTCAAAATAACTATATTTGCCAAAATGACCTAAGGGCACTAAACTTATGGTCAATAGTTCACAATAGTATTTTCATATTGTGTACAAAATCCCCGGTTTTATTTATGGTTTGAGGCTTGACGAGAAAACTTATCACATTATTAGTTGTGCGAGGGTGTTAAATAGCGACCGTACAACGTACATATTGGCACTGGTGAGTGCATTCGACGGCCGGTATGTTCAGCATTGTATTTTGTAATTGAAAGGAACAAAAAAGAAGATAAATAAAAGCGAAAGAAAAAAAAACAATTTTGGATGGGCCCTCAGGAGAAATTGCCCGCATTAGCAGTATCAAAGCATTAGCTGTGTGCTGTATGCAGTGTTTGGGTGAAATGGTCATTGCCAATCTATTCAATAACTGTTTCGAACGGTAGAAATTGAGTGGTTTGCTTTTGTTGATTCGGAATAATAAATTTTTTCTTCGGCCAAATCGACCGTTGGAGAAAGAAGAAAGCAAATCGAAGAAATGGCATGGGCGCAAGTGTTTTTATTTGTTGCTTTAATTCGATGGGATTTCGAGTGTCAGTGTAAAGATTTTGTTATTTATGTTTAAACCCGAAAATCTGATATACAATAACGAAAGCAAAAAAAAAAAAAACATTTCGATTCAATAAAATGATAACATTCAAAATGTAATATTTATTGCAAAGTGGAAGAAACGATACTAAAATGATAAGAGGCAACGAGAAAATGGAGAGGAATGAGCACTGGAACCCAAAATTAAAATTTATTGGTTCGATTATATTTGCGTTATGTGGCGGTTCACAGTTTTCAAGTGAAGCAAACAAAAGACTGTTGTAAATACTTGTAGGTATTGTGAATATGATGTCACAATCCCCCAAACATTTTAATCCGAACGACAAACACAAATGATATGTTGATTTGGTGCGGCAAGTAACCAGCAAAGAGGGTCGCAATCAAGTCGACAACAAAAAACAAAGACTTACGCATACCATTCGACGGCAAAACAACGGAACAGTTTTGTTTACAGGAAATACACGCTGGCAATGCGACGTCGAAAATGACGATGACAACGAAAACGGTTTTGGGCTACTAGCTTAAATATTTATTCAACATTATCTTTTAAATTTATTAAAATTGAATCAGATTCCGTAATTGTTTAACTCAATTAATTGCGAATTTGTTTGTCATGATACCACAAGCGAAAGGCCTAATTATTGTATTGGATTAAATGCAAATAAATAAGATTAAATTCATTGTTCGTTGGGTGCGTTCCCATTTTCTTGGTTCGCAATTTGCCGAAGTACGACGGATAGATAGAGATAGAGTTCGGTTCGGCGAAACGTTGGCATGCACATAAATTGGCGCATTGTGTATTAACATATTGATAATGTCAATGTGCGCGCGAAATGGAAATGGCGATTGCTGGGCACTTTGGGGCCGAGCGAAAATTAAAACAGAAGGGTTCATTAGGATGGTATTTGTGTAAGAATTTTCGATTGTTAAGCGTCATATGTGATCCGCATTTGAAATGAGAACGAGAGCGACTTAAGCGTACACGAAATTTATTCCATCTCTCTGGCATTCTTCCTCGCAGGCCGCACTTTTTCTCGGCATTTGTACTGTGTAGTGGCACATTGTTAACGCACAAATATGCTCATCCCATTGTTGTTTGAATAAAGAAAAGCCAATTTTTGTCTTCGGTTTTCTTTTCTAGCAAACTAAATCACTTGCCACTAAATAATTTGAGTGAAAAACTCCAGTTCGTTTGTCAACTATTTGTATACATTGAACTTCGTTTACTTTGTATTATTCTTTTCTTCACTGTGCACATTTCTCGTGCACTTCGTTTCCATTGACAGCGAACGAGCCACATTTACATATCAATCAAAGTGGCATTCAACGCGCTAACTCTATTCTTTTAATTTACTTTTTCAGTGGTGCGACTTTGGGTTTAATTTACTTCTTTGGCTCGTGTTTGTATGTAAATGGACAATGCAACCAAACAAATATGGATGATGTATAAAAACCTATTAAGTCAAAGCGAATGAAACAAATTACTGCATGGATTCACAGAATTTTATTTCAGTTAGCTAATAGCCGTAATTTATATTTATTTATTTTTTTCAGTTGTCAACTCAGCTTTTGTGCAATCCAACTACTTGCTAGGCACTTAGTTTTGTTGGTAAATGTACTTACATTTCAGTTTGTTATTCATTTCGCGGCCCCACTGTGGATCACCATGCGATGAAAAATCTCTGAGTTTTAGGTAGCTTATGGTCAGTCTTATGATTGATGCTTTGTCCAATTGACTGGTTATCGCAGCCGGCAACGGCAACATTTTGGCCAATTCATAAAATTCAAAATTCTCCTTGCCACGACGCGACCGGGCTGCATCTCGTGATTTTTCTTTGCGAATTTCCAAAATTCTGTAAAAAAAAAGAAAATCGAAATTATTAATCAAGAATCAAAATGATTTCCTGGACAAACTGTAAACTAGACTTAAAATGGTAAATTCAAATTGTTCATCTTTGATTTTTTGAGCTATCAGCTGCCACTTCTTATCATTTTCTTTTATTTTTTCATGAAACTAGAAACACTGTTTCAAACTATCTTTAAGAAAATTCCCTTCGCAAGTATTCCGCGTCCTCTCGCAACTTAAGCCCAATATAATTTATGCAAACGCGTTCTCCAAAGCAATTAGAGATCTCAACATTTCGCAATTTGATACGATCAAATGGTTTGAATTTGTTTCGAATTCATGTCAACAAAAGGTTATTTAATTTGCTGTGCACATTTTCATTTTATTGTCTCCTCGCCTCCATTGAGGCGAAGGTCTGTGAGCAAAGTTGTCATAATGAAGCTACCATCCGAAATTCGTTATGCAATACAATAAATACATTTATCATTTGGTCGAACACAGTGCAAGCATTCGCTAAGCAAAGTCATGTGACCCTTGTGTTTCCACAACCGTTCGCTTGTTCTTAGTTACGTTTCTCTGGATTCGAATACCCAAGGGAAGAATATGTGTAAATTATTCAAGCAATTTGGTCAATTTGGCAATACATTCAATCGTGGCGTTTTACTTGTGTCTGTATACTGCTGCAGTAACTCAAAGGAAGCAAAAAAACATGGTCATATGTTTGATGTACAACTCTGCAGCATTTTTGCGAAAATTTGCGTGTTTTATTTTCTCTGCTTCAATTTAGTTTGGGTTTTTCCATGCGAGAGTTGGCGAAAATTGACATAATGAAATACAAATGTGAAGAACAAAGAAGTTAGCGTTCGCGTCATGATGACATTGATGTGTGTGTGTCTGTATGTATGTGTGTTGAGGAAAATCATGAGAAGCAGAAAAGCGTGACGCGTTAGACGATTTTTTTCTCTGTTGATGTTGTTATTTCGCTGCCATGAATTGCACACACACTGATGATATGAAAAAGTGTAAATTCAATTTACATTTCGTTACTTGTCCAATTTGTAGTCGTTATGTCGAGAGTAGAGAGAGAGAGAGAGAGAGAGAGAGAGAGAGAGAGAGAGAGAGAGA